TTTTTTCTAAATTTCAACACCTTGTATCTTGAGAATGAAGGATTTTCAGACCCATGTTTATATGAACTTTTGTTAACATTACTCAAAGAATCGTTTGTTAAATTCGTAGTACACAATTTTAATTAACACCCTGTATACATGAATTGTGTTTTCAAAAATAATGATAAATTCAAACGAAATTGTGATATGCATAATTATGATACAAGGACTATACTACAACTATTTTAAACTGTAATGACTCATTCGCGTGATCAACACGTGATCAGAGCTCGATCCCGGCTTCCTTCCAGTACAGCCGTATAACGTACGACATATGTCGTTTCTGTGGCTTTGCGGTGGTCAACAGCACAGACAGAGATGGAAATATTGGCTGAATGTTCTCCGCCGGTAGAACCAATGAAATCAAAGACGCGCCTCGACCGGCAGACTCATAGGCGTCGGCAACGCATTGGAACGTGTTTCGTTGAGCGATCGCATATTGTGTGTTTTTATAAGAATTGTTGTGTGATTGTTATTGTTGTGGTTTCTGTGGTTACTGTTTTGGTTATACTTAACCATGGAGAGTACAAATGGCACGAGTGGAAGTACTGAAAGCCAGGGAACAAGTAGACGGCTTCGTAAAGCACTGAAGAGGGACGCGAAAGAAATCGTGCTCAACGTGTTCAATTATCTGAACAGAACTAGGTCGCAGGGAGATGCACTCGCGCGTTGTGAAAGTATGACAGGCGTTCCAGAGTGGACCATTCGCAGGGTGGTGCATGAAAAGAAGAAAACTGGAGCTACTACTGATCCAAAGTTTAATTTGAAGGGACGAAAGGCCGTTAAATTGGATGACGATAGCAAAATGGCGTTAAGGCGAACCGTACATTCATTCTTCTTTAGGAATGAGATACCAACCCTCAAGGCTGTACATGCAGCGATCAAGGAAAATGAAATTATACCCCAAATGAGCATCGAGGTAATGAGGAAATCCCTGCACGAAATTAATTTTCGTTACGAAACGCGTAATCGGAAGTCAGTATTGTTAGAGAGACCTGAAATAGTCGCCTGGCGTCGAAAATACCTACGGGAAATGATTGAATATTGATTTTCGTCTCTAAGAAAGGAGGTGATTACCATGACGAAATGAATGCCAGCTGCTTCGAGAGCTGGTTTCAAGGGGTGCTTCAGCGAGTTGAGCCCAACTCTGTGATCGTCATGGATAATGCTTCCTACCATAGTCGTCGAGCCGAACGTGTACCGACTATGGGATCTCGAAAAAGTGACATGCAGCAATGGTTGCGCGAAAAAGGAATCCCGTTTGACGATTCATGTGTGAAAGCGGAATTGTATGAAAAAATTAAACAGCACAAACCTGCGAACATTAGTTACGTGACTGATGAGATGGCCCGTCAATGTGGTGTCACTGTGCTGCGGTTACCGCCCTACCACTGTGAACTGAACCCAATAGAGCTCATCTGGGCTCAAGTGAAGGGTTATATTGCGCGCCATAACACAACCTTCAAATTACCAGACGTTAAGGTTTTACTTGAGACTTCCATACAGCTGGTAACGCCCGAAGCTTGGCAGAATGCTATCCGTCATGTTGTGAAGGAAGAAACAAAAATGTGGCAGCTTGACCACCACATCGACACCATCATAGAGCCAGTTATAGTCAATTTCAACGAGGAAAGCAATAGCGACGGTTTATTACTGTCAGATGTAAGTGGAAGCGACGATGAATAAAGGTAATTCCCAAATTTTTGACTTACAATATGTTTCAAAACACTCTTTATTAAGCATGTGACAAATCTAGTTCACCCATGTTAAACATTCATACCCCGCCTATGAACAGCCGACTACTGGTAGTTAAGTGATGTTCACGTGAACATCGATGAGTCATTACAGTTTTAGATAGTTATAGTATAGTAATAATAATAATAAAATTTCCTTTTCTTTTTAATAATTCACCAAGCAGAATTAAGTCGACTAGAAATGTTAACCAATTCAAGTTCTATTCAAAGCAATTTTGATACACAAATGCTTTTATCATGTTTACGATTTTTTAACATTGTAATTTGAGATTAGTTGCAGTTTGTAGGGTTCGTAGAACTGACAATTCCAATACATTTGTAAATTGTCTGTATAAAAATAAAGCTTTTGGATTCTAATCTCCCAATAAAAATTAAATGGGCAATATTTTGAACCAAAAACCATCTAATCATTATGATAGACTCTAGAAAACTCTTCGTTACAGAAAATGAAACAGCATATACCATTTGCACCCTAAAAAATAAAAGGAGTCCAGGTTTAGATGGCATACGGTCAAAAAAATTGCACCTGAAGTTAGAAAACCACTAACATTTTTAACAAATTTGATAATTGAATCTGGGGTTTTGCCAGACCCTTACAAAATAGGAATAACAACACCGATTCATAAATCTGGCGACTTATTTAATACCAGCAACTATAGACCAATAACGTTAATATCTAATTTGGCAAAGATAGTTGAAAAAATCATAAAGGCTAGGCTCATTAGTTTTTTCAACAAAAATAAGCTTATACATGGAAATTTCAAAAAAATAAATCTACTTCTTTCTTGACTTCAAAAATTCATAAATTATTAGAGCAAAGTAAATATGTATACATTATGCATATTCTTAGACCTAGCAAAAGCATTCGATACGCAACTAGTAGAAACTTTATACGATGTAGGAATTAGAAGGGAAATGCTCAAAACCTTATGAAGAGTTACCTGTTTTACAGAAAGCAATATGTTCAAATAAATAATTCCATAAGTTCAGAAAAAACTGTCACTTATGGTGTACCACAAGGGACAGTTTTAGGCCCGTTATTTTTGACCGTGTATATCAATAGCCTACTTAGCTTGAAGTCGCAAGGCACAATAATATGTTTTGCAGATGGCACAGCGATACTTTATTCTAATAACAATTCCTGGGATAATCTTAAAGAGACTGTTGAAAATGACATTATTTTAATTTCAGATTGGTTTAGACACAAATATCTAACAATCAATTTTCTGAAAACCATGTACTCGTATATGCCGTTCACAAACCTTATAAATAAATTACCGTCACTTACCTCTTTACAAGTTAAATGTGACAATACAAGTACATTAATAGATTTAGCTGATGAAACAAAATATTTAGGTGTTCATTTGGATAGTCATTTAGAGTGGAATTTCCATGTTGATCATATAGTAACTAATTTGAGACGATTATTATTTAAATTCGAGTACCTCACTAAATATCTAGACCATGAAACACTGAAGATGTTGCATCATGCACTTATTGAATGTCGCCTAAAACAATTTTGGAAAATTATTTTTGAACGGCCAATTCTATATCCATCTGATATGTTATATTCCGAAGCGGGACTACTCGATCTTAGGTAACTCTTTTTTTACAGTGTTTTAATCAATTTATTCAAAAATAAAACAAACCTCATTTCATTGGACCACAAATATGAAACAAGAAGTAAAGTCGAGGGTATTAAAAGTACACCATTTACAACAAAAAATGTAGGTCAAAGATGCTTCAGTTACCTCTCCACTAGATTTTATGACTTCTTACCAAGCCATATAAAATCCATTTCAAATAAAAATAGATTCAAAATTGAAATAAACAATTCTTGTTAAATAATAATCGACATGAAATAGAAAAACTCACTAAAATGAAAATAAATTAGTATTTGAATATAATATTATTACACTTACCTTTATGGTTATGTTGTGCTTAAATTTATGTATTAACTATATTTAACTATGTTCAAAGCAAAAATTGTTATGAAAATTGTTTTCCCACGTATCACAAGAATTAAATTCTGTGGGACTATTTCAGTTTATTTGCGTATATATGCATATTTATTTTGAATAAACTTTAATACTTTATACGTGAATAAACTTATATTATTATTATTATTATTATTATAACCATCAGGAGTTCAGATATGAAGACGTTGTGACATCCTTGGTGTTCTTCAATCCTCAAATCAGAAAAATACCAGTCGTACTATCATTAATACAAAAATACGGAATATGAGTAGATACAAACTGCTGAATAAAATAGGTTAAAAGCTTATTTTCAATCGTGCAATCTAAATGCCTGTCGGAATTCCTCGAGTCAAGACTAATTTCGTGATCCGTGTCAGGTCATTTGTGGCTTTCAGCGAGGCACTAAGTGGGTTTTTCAACAGCTCGTAACTTAAAGGAAGAAAAGGTTTTTTTACCGAGCATCTGAGTCTCGAATACCGTATTTTCGTATTTATGGGGGCAATTTTCGATTATATATTTAGCTGGAGCATCGAAATCATTTTTCAGTATACCTACTTATGCATTCGGTATAAATAGAATTAGAAGAGTGGTGTAAACTGTTGAATTTAAATAGGTAAACTATTGCGTTTTGATGGTACAGAAACTGTAAATGTGTGTACCGTTAGTGTTAATATATCGTAGGTCAGGTGCTGCTAAATGTAAAATATAAACAAAAACTTATAAAATAGAGTATCAAGTAGATTGACTTTTTGTCCAACAATCACCCATTTCCGAGTGTTCCGAGTGTTTTTATTTTTGTATAAGCGCATGGTCGGAAGGCTTACTACTTCAAATCTCTAATAAAACACAAGACATAAGTTGTACATAAAAAATGAAAGAGTTATGCCCCGCTACACTCACAATAAAAATTTTCTGACAAAATGTTGACGTGAAGTAACATACATTTCTAAAATATTTAAATGCTAAAATCGAGAAATTTGAGTTGTTTGCCGGAAACCCCGCTCAAGGACCATAATCCTTTTATTGAAGAAATTGATCATGTACATATGTAGAGGTTTCTAGCATTGTTATCGCATTTACGTATCATTCATAGATATGAGGAAAATGAGCAGTACATTCACCATTTTTCGATTAGAAAATGTTGATTTTGGCTCCCCATTCCTTGCATTTTCTTGACTACACGCAGCATCTAAGCATCCAGTTTCGTCACTTCCACAAGCTATAATAATGTATACGTCACTTATGTCAAATTTTGCTGCTGATCCTATCAAATGGAAATAAAAACTGTTACATTTCTGAAAACCGGTCAGTAGATCATCGTGCAGATCTTCGAAAATACGTAAAATACCATGAAAGAGAAAGTAAACGAAGCTAATTTTGATGACCCTGGTAAGTGATAATATTATTTTTTACAATACTAATTGTAGATGCACGCCCCTTTTTCATTAGTCTTTCAAACAGATTCATAAATTCCCCAGACAACAGCTTGCAGTCTTATCGAAGTATAACAACCAAAACTACATTTCATAGAATCAGAAGAAAATATTATTCTATCATAGAAACTAAATTAACAAAAAACTGTAATCAATAACTTCTCATCGTTTTATCCTATTTAATTTTTGTCTGCCATTCAACTGGTTGTCTCCGGTATTAGGTTTGCGTTACTATAGGTCATTATTGGTCAGAGCGGTCCGCTGGACCTTTGCCCTTAGTTAAAAGTCTCGTCGGTCTGTTAGTCTGTCAGGTCTGGCTACCCAGATACCAAACATGTTTAAGGGGAAAAGGGAAAGAAGGAAAGAAAGGAAGGAAGAAATAGAGCAAAGAAAAGAAGTAAATCATTTGAAATAGTTTAAGCATTATTGCTTTGACGACTCGAATAATTATGTAACTCCAAAAAATAATTTTGATCGGTTTTGTATACTGAACTAATTTTGGCTGGTCTGAATTTACAATTTAATTTTGATCACAGTGCGAGGCGCGGCCTGGAATGTTTGCGAACTTGCTCGACTGTGTAGTCTACTGAATCACGCAACAGAGGGTTTCTGTGCGATTCCGCTTGATTATAACGCCGCTACGCCTGTTGTTTTACGGAATCTCTTAGATATGGGATATCAAGATCTCTGTGAATGGTCTCATTTGACACGTACCAAGGGGCGTTAGTAATTGTGCGTAGGGTTCTGTTTTGCAGGACTTGCAGTCTCTGCATGTGCGTATTGGCAAGGAAACACCAAGCCGCGCATGCGTAGGTGATTGCGGGTCTTATGACCATTTTATGCAACCGAATCTTGTTGATCAAACTTAATTTTGAATTTCTGCACAACAAAGGATAAAGCTGCCGAAAGGTAATTTGAAATTTTGTTTTCAAAATATGTATGTTTCTGCCAGGTTAACCTCTTGTCAGTGATGACTCCAAGATACATGACCGATTGCTCTCATGGTATACTAGTTCCATTCACTGATATCCCTGAGGGGTCATCGCGACGTTTTTTAGTACAATAGATTGCCTGCATTTTCGAAGTATTAATTTTGATCAACCACCGATCCGCCCACTCCAATGCTTCCTCCACCGCACTCTGCAGCCTGTCGTGAACCAGGTTACCAGAACAAGACTGGGCTAGCAATCCAGTGTCGTCAGCATAAAGATAAACTTCACAGTTGCTGTGACAAGGGACGTCATGTATATAAAGTGAATAAAGGATTGGTCCTAAGACCGAACCCTGAGGAACACCGGCAGTTACGGGCAGTGTTGTTGACAACACATTGTTAATTTTGATCCGAAACTTTCTTCCTTCTAGAAAAGATTTCAACAGTTTTAGTAGCCAAAATGGAAAACCCTTTTGGATGAGCTTATACAATAGGCCCATGTGCCACACCTGGTCAAATGCCTTTGATACATCTAAAGCAAGATACCAGGACTTTTGTTCAGGGTAAACCCCCTGGTTACATGCTCCACCAGTCTAACTACCTGTAGCTCCGTACTATGCTCAGACGGAAAGCGGAATTGCACGTCAGGAATCACATGGTGATCTGACGAGAAATTCTCAAGGTGACGATAAATCACCTTTTCAGCGAGCTTAGAACGAGCTGACAGCAGACTAATGGGACGGGAATCCTGGGGAAATATCGAACCTGCCTTCTTTGGAAAGTAATGAGTTCTGAGCATTGCATTGATTATTGCCACCAGATAAGTCAAAGCCTTGAGCGAAAGCAACTTCAATGCTTTGTTGGTGATTTGATCCTCTCCAGGTGCTTTACGCACATTTAGGTCCTTAATGTGGCCTTGGAGCTCTGCTGGTGTGCAAAACGGAATCTCAGAGGATTCCGTTGATGTTCTATGCTGAGATTCATCTGAAGAGTCTTCCGTAGAAGAATCTTCTGAAAAGGAGTCACCGATGTTAACACCGATGTTGGTATCGCCATTCGCTCTCAAGTATCTCCTGACAGATCTTACAATTTGTCGTTCCTCGTCAAGGTCATTGTCCAGATCATAATTGGGAGAGAACTGCCTTTCCATGACGTCAACAGAAACCTCCACTTTATCCTCAGTCCTGAAAATTATGCCTCCAGGACCATGAATATGTGGTAGTTGTTCTTGCCTTCCGTTTCTGAGCGATTTTGCCACTTTCCAGAGAGGAATACTTGATTCAAGCATCCCCGCCAGAAAGCCGCTCCACTGCTCATTGCGGAATTCATGGAGTGCATTTCTCACTTCATGGACGAGATTCGTCGCTCTACGAATGTCATCAGGATGACAAGACCTTTTTGCTTGCTTAATCGCAGCCCTCTTTCCAGAAATTTTCCGACGATGTCAGCAAGGAAAAGGTTTGCGTTATCAAGACTCTGTAGATTGAAGACGCTGGTGACCTGATCTAAGCTGACAGCTTCCACGGACTTGACGAATAGTATATAAACGCTTCTGTAAGAAGATATATATTATAGCTCACCTCTCCATCCCACAATGTGAACGGGGGTATTCCCCAGAGTCGGCCTTCGCTCCTACATTGTTCCTTTTAAATACAACGTTCTCCTTTCCTGTACGATCAATCCAATCCACAGCTTTGCTGATGACAGCACCCTACATGCAGGAATTCAGAATGACAAGCTGGTTTCTGCCTGTGAGATGGAGAAAAGATGACTAGCACCGCGTGCCTCTCTGACGAGAGACCTGGAGATTATCAGCTTGGGCACGCAATAATCTGGTACAGCTTAATCCTGCCAAAACACAGTACTGTACCTGGATTCACGAAGAGCGCTCTAGCGCAGGTTTCGATGAATGGACTATTTCTTTAGAGCTAGACTTTTCTTTACATATCCTCCTCACTCTGCACAAAGCCAAAGATTAGACCTAGCCTCAAGTACTGCTTACATGTTTGGGGTGCTGCCGCCCCGACTGCACAATCCATGGTCGATGCTCAGAGGAGGGATGTCCAACGGATCGATGACTCCTCAGCAGACCGTTCCTGAACCCTTCTGCACCGACGCGACGGGTCGACAGCTCTCCTCCATGATGCCGTCTCGCGATGTGCCTGCCAGTCCCTTTGCCCTACGATATTTATTGATATTGTTGGGCAATCTACCTGATGATATTTTTCCCAGATCTCCTTACCTAGACAGTTGTCAAAATCGGATTAAAAAAAAGTTTTTTAAGCTCCTCATAACAGCCGCACTGCCCTGGTATTTGGGCTTCTGCCTACGCGGATGCTCCGGTTTAAAAAATAGCTGTATCGTAACACTGTTTGTAACCCATTAACCTGCTGAATCAGGCGGTGCCTTCCCCCAATCGAGGTCGAATTTAAACAGAAAAATCTAGATTGTCTCCGCGGAGGATCCTTCTTTTTCGATTTGTCAATAAAACGAAAAGAATAAATCAAAGCCAGTCACGAAGATCATCGCTAGTCTAGTCGAGTGATGAGCAACTATTAATTTGAAGAGAAATGTAATATCCAAATCCTCTTAAAATTTGTTGTCTTTAGACGGTATTTGAAAAGCCGCGAGCTTATAAAGAACAATGCAAAAAACATTAAGAAGAACAAGAATTCATTATAAAAATCACGTTAACGTGTTAATTTACAAAATCTGTCCTTAAGGCTCTAGGGCATTGATTTTCAAAGTGGCGGGCTGGCATTCTTTGGGGGGCGGGGCAAGACGACTTGTATACTGGTCAGTGCGATGAATGATCTTGCATATTTCTTACAAGGGCGTCAATCAATCAGTTACAAGGCGGAGATTCAAACATATCATTGGGATACTATCACCGGATTCATCAATAAATTGCAGCTCTGGAATCGCAAGATTTCAACATGCCCAAGTTCCGAGACTATTATCTATAACAGAAGAAGAGCGTTTCAAGATAGATGGCTTATGATGAAACTGGTATCAAGACCGAAATATCGAACCATTTGCATCATCATACTTATGAATTCAAGGGCTACTTTACTAAATCGTGCGTTGAACATTTTTTCTCGTTTAGCAATAGACCGTTTAAATAGAAACACTGCAAAAGCAAACTCCGGAAATAAAAGATTATTTTTTCATCAAATATGATTTGGAGAAAATGGATAAGCCCTCGTTTTGGGTAAAATACCTCAAAATTCACCCTAACATAGCAGAGCGAGCATTAAAACTATTTTCACTTCTTCCAAGCACTTACTCATGTGAAAGGGCATTTTCAGCATTTGTAGCAATAAAAACAAAATGCAGAAGCAAGCTCGGTATTGCTGGTGATCTATATTCAGCACTACTTTCAGTTCAGCCCGAGATTGGTAGCTTTGTAAAAGATATGCAAGCCAATTGTGTCAATTTTTTTCCAAAGCATTTCGTGGGGCGTGACATTATTGTATTAGGTCAAAGAGGGTATAACAAAAATTACGTTAGCAGGCTCTGCTCTAAGGCATGCACAGCGTTTTTGAGTATCGCATATAACCTCGAATCTCCGAACTACTGAGGAGGAGTGTTCCTACTTCCCTACCTCCCTTTGGTGAGCGAAATCAGAATTCAGTTTCACCCTGATTTCCAAACTGTGTCCAGAACACCTTGCTTGTTCCTTATTGAACTACATCCAATTCTTCAGATCAATCGAGAAAATCCAGATTTGACATTATTTTAATATTGTCTATCCGAAGTCTCCTGACCTTTTACATGCCGGACTTTGACGAGGTAATCAAAGAACTGAATAATACTTCATTTGAAAAATATTTTGTTGATTGGATCCAGTAACCAGGTTACTGTACTCGCACGGTGGTTCCATGGTATGTGCCCATGAGGCAGCGTGATGCAACTAAAAAACGATTGGAGATCCTTGCCGATCCGGGTTGTTTCACTTGAACGCATCCAGATGGAGCATCAAGCAGCTTGAAAGAACAAAGGAAGAGTGGCTTGGGTAGGATTGA